TCTCTGCCCTCCAAGAATGGTCAGGGCCCAAGGTGGCCAAGCTCCCAGGCTAGTTGCCTTCAGCCAAGAGCAGCCTGTGTTTATCTCCAGTGAGTCATTTAAAAAAATCTTGTTCTTTGTTTCAATTTAGAATGTTAACAACATATATCACTGTTGGCAAAACAAAATTACATGCTCTTCTAACCAAAGAACCTTATTTATCAACCTACTCAGGGGTATCTGGACCAGCCTAAATGACTGTTGGTATTTTATAGATGAAAAACTGAAAATATAGGATGGAGCAAGAACGACCCCAGACTTATGAAGTTTTGCTTGACTTTCCTTAACAATTTCATTCTTCAGAAACTTTTCGCATGTGAACATACAACAAAATGGATGTACTGTTCCGGAAGTTTCTTTTACTTATTTTACTTATCATTAAACTTTAATGATAAGTTTCTTTTACTTATCATTATTTCCACTTTCTGCCAGATTTCAGAGATGACAACCCATTTGACTCAGTAAGTGATGTCCTCCAGTGCAGAGATATTGTTGTAGGCCCCATCAGAAGTGAGTACTCATCAACTTCTTTTTCTCCTATTGGTGAAGCTCTACTATAAGCCATGCATACTCTATCACCCAGGTTTCCTTTAGGTTGGTGACATGGAGCCAGGGATGAAATCCGGCCAGCCTAGGCTGTGGTCCTCAGTTGACGGAAAGACTGAGTCACGATAGGAAACTGCTTATAGCTCTAAGGCACATGGAGACAAATGAGAGGGATCGCAGTCAATTTATATTGGATACGTACTGTGATTTGTGTGATTTGTTTAAGTATTTTTAAAGGATGTCTGATCCTGAAGTGAGTTTGTTTTGACAAAAGGTTTTCACCTCACCTTGTCGAATTATAATCATATTTTTCTTTTAAAAACATTTTTATTTAAATCTTGTTTTTAGACATGTTTTTGAGAGAACGTTTTTAAAAGTAGATAAGTGTTTATATTTGAAAAATAAGTAATGTAAACATGTTGTTTGTTTTGGGAAGGAAGTCTGTGGAAGAACTGATGAGGATATAGGTTCAGGCTCCTGGCTCCTGTAATCCTCAATACCTCATAAAAGTTTTAGCATAAAAGCTAGGAAAGCCAGACCATCACAGAATCTTGAGCATCAAGCACTAATCTTCCTGTACTTCTACTGGGAAAGTTAAATTTGTCTTTCTGCAGACCATGACCCCCAGTCTTTGAGGGACTCTAACCTCTTTGTGCAGAAACAGGAAAGAAAATCCTACAAGCAGAGGTCACTGATGAGCATCAGTCACTGGGCCATCGGCAGCAGCCTAGCACTGAGATACTGACTGTTCTTGTTAAGATGGTGTGTATCTGTCCCTATTGGTCTACCCCACACATTCGCTTGTTCCCTGCTCAGCTAATTGACAGAAATAATGTTGCATTATTCAAGAGTATGTGTATGAATCATAGATCTTTTCTCTCAGTATTGCCTATACTTCGAAACTTAAACCTAAGGATTTTACATTTAACGTTGAGTTTTTACTAAAAATAAAACACATATCCTTTCTTCTTGTAATTCTTGGCCTTCTGAATCTTTGAAAGCGTATACAAAACTTGAAGGAATTGTCCCTTGAATCTATTTGGAGAAGTAGATCTGTGTGGCTCTAGGGAAGCTGTGAAAATGCACTACTCAGATCTCCTGCTGTGGGAACCATAACTGACCAATAACCCCAACTGCCACACTTTGAATCTGCTATGCTTCCTATGGCCCACTTTCAAATGAGTATAGTAGTGATACTAAGTGAGGCCCATTTCTACAAGATGCAAGACTCCTCTGGTGGCTACATTAGGCTCAAATACTCTCCATCAGGCTTGGCTGAAACTTTTTTAGATCTGTTCCTATCCAATCCATTTTCCTTCTCTCATTACAGTTTAACAGCTCTTCCTGCCTCTTTTGGTTTCTTCTTCCTTATCCCCTCACAGGCATTTCTCCCAATAAATCTATTACAAATCTAATCCCATCTTAATGTCTGCTTTGCCAAGAACCTAAACTAACACTGCTGTGTCCACAAAACAGATTAAAGCTGTAATCTGTGATTTCAAAATAAGCTAATAATCCAAGACATGAAAGAACAATATGCACCACAATTAGAAAAACTCAGAAGTGTGACATAGGAAAAGTTACAATAAAAGTAAAATAATTTAAAAGATAAAGACTAATCTAAAAGGCACATAAATGCAAATAAACACAACAAATGATGCCTTAAGAGAATTGAATATTAACAACAACAACTAAAAGAAATGAAGAAAGAGGTTTTTTAAAAGGGTACTCTTTGGGATCTTTGATGGCAGAATTTCTTTAATTTCCCAATAAACTTATTCCAGTTGCTTCACACCCTTACGGTTGAGGGTATCTCTAAATCTAATTATTAGCTATCTCCCTTTCTTATAAACTAGTGGAGAAGACCAGTTGGCCCTTATCCATCTCCAACCAAATCATCCAAACCTTCCTCAGAGAATCTTTTTTATTTTCCTGTGCTTAATTTGGGGGTGGGAGTATTTCTCTTTAATATTGTCTAGTTTCTCCCCACTGACAACTGTTTTTTTTAATGTAAAGCCAATAATTGGAAATATTACCCAGGTCAAAGTATGATGTGTTAAATAGCAAAATTCATGCATCAGGCATGAAATTGGGCTCATCTGTGCTTTGAGAAGATTGTGACCTGGTCAAACAATTAACCTGAGATCCTCAACCCAGTCTATCCTGGGCTTTTCCAAGGAATTGGAAACACAGAGCAGTCACTTTATCAACATCATCAACGAATATTGATTAAGCATTTTCAATGTACAATGAATCATGTTTGCTGTTTTAGCTATCTTATGGACATCCTCACCTCATGTAGAGGTTTTTGTTTTTACGAACAATACTTTGGATTAGTCTAAGTCAGTTTTTGAGATGTATCCCTGAAGGAAGGGAACTATCTTAATCAGACTAGTGTCAGAATGAAGAAAGCCACATCTGTGTTGGAAGTTTGATAAAAAATAAAATAAAAATAAATTTTAAAAAATGGGAGGGACATTTAGAGGCACTACCAAGGTCTCCTCTTTCTTATTTCTCAGTCTCCAAATAGCCCCACTTTCAAGTCCGTCTTAGAAATAAGACATGAATTCGTAATCAAAATAAAAGTGATTATAGCTTTTCATGTTCCTAAAATACATGTAATATATATGATAATATCATAAACATATTGCGTGTTTGCTTTGGCCCAGACATTATCTCATTAAACCCTCACTTCAATAAACACTTGAGGTAGCAACTATTATTACCTTGCTGCTCTAGAATTCAAATGCAGACTGCTGAATTTCAGAGGTCAAATATCTTATGTCTATGTTCTATCTCTGTATAACAAAAAATAACATAGCCAATCTTATGCTCCAGCTAACCTACAGTGACAAGGATATTTTATTTTGCTAATATCATCAGTTCTCCACATCCATGGGTTATACAACTGTGGGTTCGACCAACCAAAAATCAAAAATATTTGAAAAAAATTTTTCAGAAAGTTAATCCCTAAACAATACAGTTCAGCAACTATTTATATAGCATTTACATTGTATTAGGTATTATAAGTAACTAGAGATGAAGTAAACAGAGGAATGTGCCTAGATTATATGTAAATACATCATTTTTATATAAAGGACTTGAGCATGGAGAATTTTGGTATCCACGGGGGTCCTGGAACCAATTCCCTATGGATACTGGGGGACAACTATACTTGAGCCAGTAATTTAAAGTAAAAGCAAAGTGTTGCAAGAGATTAAGCTAAACATGGCAGTGTGAATCAAAGGGGGGGTGTGCAGAGGTGGGGGGATGGTGAACCTGAAAGGGAGGAGAGCAGTGAGCGGGGAACTTACAACAGCTGTCCTAAGCACCCCTCAAGTCTCCATCCAGAGCATTTAGATTATAAAGCAAAGGCTTCCTTTATTAAAATCTAAGCTAAATACTTTAAATGCAAACCTGACATTTAACTCTCCAACTGATATACTTCCTCATATTTTACCCTTTAATTATCATACTTGGACTCTTGAAGTTATAGTAAATTCAATACTTTTACCCATCTAGTCACCAGATTAAGATAAACCACAGATGACTAACGTGTTTGCTATAGGAATCAAGAGGTTACAGCACAGTGAATTCATTTTAATGCTACATGTTAATTTAACATTTCAGAACATTTAGCACATTGTTCTTAATTTGCTAACCTGCATTCCAGATACCAACAATATGCAATAGGGCATATGCTTAAAGATGAAGCTTAAGAGTGAGGCTAAGCTTAAAGCTTGTTTTCACCTAAGGAACTTCATGGTCTTGGGCGTGGCATTTAACCACCTTAAGACTAAACTTTCCTCAGCTGTGAAATGGGCTTAACAACAGAATCTATCTTATAGGATTGTGGGGATTCAATGAAGTAATATGTAAAATTGCTTGCCACAGTATCTGGCACATAATGTTCTGTGCGTTAGCTACATATCTAAGAAACCCGCTTTAATATGAAGAGACATTAAAATGTAAAAAACATTAAATCTATTAACTATTAATTTTCATTCTCTTCGGTCGCCTAAATCTGGTTTTTATCTCATTTTCGGTTACTGCACTTCCCCCACACCATCCCCCTTTTCACACAAGGGGGAAAAACCCAAGACTTCAGCGTTCTCCAGAAAGAAAATCAAGGGAACGCAAGCGACTAACACATCCAGAAAATTGTCTGCCTGTCTACGTACATTCCTAGAGACCCCGGAAAGGGCCCGCCCACCACTTGATTTCTCGACCCCGAGACCATTCCCAAATAAGCCTTGAGTCCACCCGGCTTCCGGCTGGTTACGTCGGAACTGAGGTCCAAGTCTCATTCACGTACGCTCACCCTCTGGGTAATTTACATAGCGACTGTTTATTGGCTACTAGCATGCACTCGCTCTCCTCATTGGCTGATACTGCCCCAAGCCGACAGTCTGCAGAGGATGTTCGCCGCGGCGAGTGAGACTGAGGGTCACAGGCACCTGAATTTCCGTTTCCGGTTCGTCTCCGGCGCCATGGCGACCACTAGCGGACCGAGGTATCTATGGACTTTAGGCAGATGGCGCCGTGGTCTTGGTGTAGCTTCCCCGTCCCGGGTGAGTGTGTGCTATTTCTGCTCTTAAAGAGACTCTGGATCTCCGAAACAGCTCTGTTCGGAGGAAGAGCGCTCTTGGTAGCCTCTCCCTTAGCGAGCTCCCCCAGCTTTACCTTCTGTCCCGCAATCAGCTTTTCTTTCCCCGCCTGCAGGCTCTCGCCGCCCTTGTGCCCGGCGTATCTCAGGTGGATAACAAGTCTGATTTTCTGGGGAAGAGGCCCCATCGCCGGCACCCTGGCATCATGCAGCTGCCGCGCTTGAGGCTGCCCCAAGCGCTGACTGACACCGCGCAGTTACTGCTGCTCAGTGAGTAATGGTTGGAAAGGAAGGCCGAAGAAGCGGAAACTGGGCCCGCAAGCAACTGATGCCACTTTTCATCTTTGGTTCACAGAATGCTCAATGCCCAATGTGGAGAAGCAGGTGCAAGCACTGACCAATTATCTCTGGAGCCGACATTTACCAATAGAGCCAGAGGAGTTACAAAGACGGGCTGTACATCTTGAGAAAAAATTCCTGGAAAACACAGGTAGGGTTTAAGAATAATTAAAGACTGGGTCAAATTGAAATATCAATGGGAAATGAAAAGTAAGAAATAATTTTAGTTTCTCAAATAGGTACTACAGTTTCTGGACAGAGCAGTTATTACAATAATGCTTTACTAAGAGAAGATAGATTATTTCAGATGTTGCCCTTGGGGTTTTGGTGAAGGTCAACAATTGTTTAGTATTGTGCCGAAATCTAGACCTTTTTGTTTCTACAAATCCACTGGATTAGGACCGTCTTAAGTTTTTGTTCAACTGAAATAAAGTCCCTGTATGGCCCCCTGTCCAGTACTTAACCCTTTTCAGGGATCAGAGAATAAGTATAACTCATCAAGTTGTTTCATGACTGTGAGCTCCTTCATATTACAGACCTGCCTTTTATTTATCTTGTATTCCCTGTACTTCCCACAGTGCCTGGCTCATAGTAGGCACTCGGTAGGTAAAATAGTACTGAACTGAACACAGTCATGAGTCTTAAGATTTCCAAGCCCTTTTCCTCCCTATAGGAACATTGGAGATTTCATAACTTAAGTTTTGGGGAAATAAGGAAATCCACAAAATATTGTCCTTATCTTATTTTTAAATCTTGACCACACTTCTCTTTAATATAGAACAAAAGCTGTGGGATGGGGTGGGTTGAGTTAAATAAACTACTCTTAGAGGCAAAGTACTATCTGATATACTCCCTTGGTAGTGGTGGTGGTGGTTATTCTTACCTGAAATTTTTCTCTAGGTTTGGCTTCTCTCTTAAGCTTTGAGGCTTTTCCCAGATGGGGGTTGGGGAGAAATGGGCAGGCAGTAAATTCAAATATTGGATCTGAGCCCTATTCTTCCTAGGTCCTCACTTCCAGTCCTTGTTCTCACCCCAGACTTATCTCAGACAGAGGAGAAACTTCGTAAAGCAGTGCTGCATGCCATGCGTAAAACTACCTACCATTGGCAAGAACTGAGGTAAGGAAGACTAGAAGGGCTGCAGAAAAAAGAAGTCTGACTTTCGAAGGAGGGTTGGAGAAGTACAATGACACAATCTTGTGTTTGAAAAAGCCACCTGGTTTGTAAGGCTCCACAGGACTATTCTGTGTTAAGGAGTGAAAGTACTGATGTGGAAGAGCCTTTCCAAAGATTTCATTTCCTAAAAATCTAGAAGCAGCTATGGAATAAAGGTTATTTCCCAGTGGATTTGACTGTGATTTTTTTGGCAGCTACAATGAGGGACTCAGCCTGGTGTATATGGCAGCAAGACTGGATGGTGGCTTTGCAGCAGTCTCCAGAGCATTCCATGAGGTGAAAGTCCCTCAGCTTCCCACCCGAACCCTTTTACCATCAGTTCTCTTATTCAATAAAGTAGTCTTCTGGAGTAGGATTCTTGGGACATTACCTGTGCATTTTTTTAAGAGGCTCCCTTTGTCCTCTGAAAGGATTTTGTGACCCAAGAAAGGTTTAGAAGCTTTCTGTTCTATAAAGTATTTACACTGACTATCAAAAGCCATTCACGTCTCCTCTATGATGGTCTCCTAATTCGTATTTACCAAGTCCCTAAATAAGTGTCTACTTATCCTACTGCGTGATATTGTATTATTTGTTCAGATCCAGACTCGAATTCCAGAGTTCCAACCACAAACCTTGATGGACTTCGGGTCAGGTACTGGTTCTGTCACCTGGTAAGTATCTCTCTGTCTCCATCCATTCTAGCTCTAGAAAGCCATGCTTATGCCAATCTCAAGAGACTGGGGAACCAGAGGAAGAACAGGAAAGTTGAGAACAAGAATGTTTTCTCCCTCAGATTAGGCGAGGCATGAGAAGGTATATGGATTAGGGCCAAAACTTAAATGTCAACTGAAAAAGAATAGACCTATGTTTAGAAAGATAAAAAAGGGAAGAAATCTAGGGCATAAGTTTTACATATCGTCAAAATATTTTTGCCTACAAGTCGTTTAAGTCGTTTTTTTGAGTCTCCTTAAGTGAGCTGCCCAGCAAAGCTGACCGCACTGAAATAGTCCAAACCTTGTGGCGCAAGACAAGTGATTTTAAGGAGTTGTAAATGAAATAAGAAAATAACATTGTTCATTTTCCAACTATTTTAACATAACACTCATTTTTGCCAGTGGTGGGGTTAAGGGTAAAGGAGTCTCTTTTAGGAATGACTCTTTGTCATGAGAATTGGTGATTTATATTTTGCCATCTTAGGGCCGCTCATAGTATTTGGGGCCAGAGCCTACGTGAATATATGTGTGTGGACAGTTCACCTGCCATGTTGGATTTGGCAGAAAAGCTACTGAAAGGTGAGGATAAGGTACAAGAAAGGGCTGTCCGAAGCTGAATTAGTTAAGAAAGCAAAAGAAGTACTAGAAGGGGTGTTTTATTCAGGAGTAAAGGAGAAGACAAAAAGTTAAAGATGAGTGTGGTCTTCTTCCATTATTATGGTCAAGCAGAGGGTGGTGGAGGCCTTTGCTGGACTGTGGATGGGTTGGGTAAGATTAACAGGACAGGTGACCCAATATTCTTCCTGTTCTTTTTAATGTTTGCTTACCCTATTGCATCTCACTCTCACCTAGCATTATTTTAATTCTCAGGGCCATGTTTCTTATCAGGATATCACTTCAGTTTATACCTAGATTCATAGTTGCCATATCTCTCCTTTCCTCCTCAGGTGGTTCAGAATCCGGGGAGCCTTATGTTCCAGGTGTCTTTTTCAGACAGTTTCTACCTGTGTCACCCAAGGCAAGTAGCAAAGTATAGAGTATGCTAAATGTGGAATTTGGCAGATAGAAAACTTTGGTCTCAGCTCCACAACCCAGTATTGAGCGTTAGAAGATAAAAAACAGCAGAAGACATTTAGGAAAATAGAACTTTGTTGTGCTCTTAGAAGGGGGACATGTTAGGTCTGTCATGTTCCTTGTCTTGGTCCTCAGGTACAGTTCAGTGTGGTGGTATCAGCCTTTTCCCTAAGTGAGCTGCCCAGCAAAGCTGTCCGCACTGAAGTAGTCCAAACCTTGTGGCGCAAGACAAGTGATTTTCTAGTGAGTCGAAATTCCTTTTTAACTTAAAACTTTAAAGTAGCTTCATGGGTTCCACGCCTTCCCTTCTCTTCATTGGAACTTGTCTTCATACATTTCTCTCTGGCATAGATTCCTTTGTCCTTCTTTTAGGGTCTCCATCCCCAACTTATATATAATGCCATTTCCTTTAGGATTGCTTTTCCATCTGAATGCTCTTACAGAGCTACTGACATTTATGTTTTCATGTGGTTCAGGGCTTCTGCTTGTTTTCCTCTTTGTGAACAGATACTGGTAGAAAATGGTACAAAAGCAGGGCACCACCTTCTCATGGAAGCCAGGGACCTGGTCCTTAAGGTAAAAGTCTTTCCCTTCTCCCTCCTCCCCTGCCACTGCCAACCACCACCACTACCTCTGTCACCAATTACTGGTACTCCCTTGAAAACTGAAAAGACTGTCATACAATGGTAAGGGTGACTCAGGATAGTAGACATGTAAAGTCATTATAATATAGGGTAGTGATTGGCAAACTAGAGCCTGTGGATCAAATCTGGCCTGCCACTTGTGTCTGTATGAGCCAGGCTTATCCGAGTGTCTGTTGTGTATGGCTACTTTCACAGTACAAATGGCAGTTGAATAGCTGGGACAGATACATATTTTGCCTACTCTCTGGGCCTTTTAAAAAAAGTTTGACG